AAAAAAAAAAAAAAAAAAAAAAAAAAAAAAAAAAAAAAAAAAAAAAAAAAAAAAAAAAAAAAAAAAAAAAAAAAAAAAAAGTCGAATTGTTACACTTGGGTACGCACGATTGCACTAAGTAAAGTAGCGCCTATATTTGGATATACATCTTTGTCTAGAACCAATTGGGCCAAGTCATTCCTTTTGCACAGATTCATAGATGACGGTAGCATTTTGGGCGTAAGAACTAATACTTTGTATGAAGGATATGCTGATTAAAATACAAGGTAGCATTTTAAAGGACAGAGACATTTCTCAAGAAACAACAAAAAGTGGTACTAAAACACCAACCTCAATATTGAGTGTTGTCAAAAACCCACGGTTGGTGCAAGAAAAGCTCTCGCCCATTCATTTGCACCGCTCCTGAGGCTATATCCTCCGCACGCTTCCTTGCTGTTTCATCTCTTTTGGCAGATGCCTCGGCATCCTGCAAATAAGAGGAGATAGTTGGAGATAAATGTCCAACAGCAACAACTCATTTACGTCACTGATGCAGAAATACCCTCATAATTGACTGGTGGAATGGTTCAGGTTCTTTACAGTTCAGTGATTAGTTAACTTGAACTTACAAGAACCAACCTGTGTTTCTGCCACTGACAATCAATTGTGAAGCATGTGAGTTTAGAGCGTTAATAACCTTATAATTTCAAGATGGCTTGTAATAGCCTAAGCTCACCGCTAGCAGATATTGTCTGCTTTAACTCGTTACGTATCGTTGTCACCCTCACGATTTTAAAACGTGTCTGCTAGGGAGAGATTTTCACACTCTTATAAAGAATATTTCGTTCCCCTCTCTAACAGATGTAGGATCACACAATCCACCCTTCTTAGGAGCCTAGAGTCTTTGCAGACATACCGCTCAGTGTCTGGCTCTGATACCATTTGTAATAGCTCAAGCCTACCGCTAATAGATATTGTCTGGTTTGGTCCGTTACATATGGCCATTAGCCTCACGATTTTAATACGTGTCTGCTAGGGAGAAGTTTTCACACCCATATAAAGAATGTTTCGTTCCCCTATCCAACCGACGTGGGATCTCACATAGTCACTCATATATTGCAAGTATTTGAAGTCGTTACTAGAACAAGATTAGTTCTCTAGGTAGGTTGTATAACTGTGTTCCTGAATTCTATGGTATTTTCTAACAGAACTTATAGCAGAATTGTTAATAGCCTTCTTTAACAGCTTCATTAAACTTTCCATGGGAAATGGGGCTCATGTTCATTAAGGTGCATGTCAATTATGTTTTAATCCTCAATGATAGTGATTCTACCCTCCATCATGATTATGATTTTTTTTCTATTTTAGGAGACCCCTTAATGATTATGAATCTCAAGACTTGGCTAATCTCCTTTTTGTTGTTACAAGGGGTTTGTCTATCCCCAACTTCAAATGATTAAGTAAACAGACTCTTGAACCTTCAGGCAAATTCTCTAGGAAGTCTCTTTTTGCCAGTTAGTGTCCCAACCCAATCCTCTTGTCTCCTCTTTTCTTCGTGTTGATATGGTAGATTCCATGATTTTATGTCCCCAATGTCAGTAGAATGTGGCATGTGATGTGTGTAAAAGATCAACAGAGAAGAGAATCTTGTTCATGTGATGTTCATGTGATCTAAAGTTGCCACTTTGCAGTTAAACGGAGCAAATTCTTAAACCACCCAGAGGCTGTTGTAGGGACATGGAGTAGAGATCCCATATTGGTTGGAGGAAGAACAAAGCATTCCTTATAAGGGTGTGGAAATTACTCCCTAGTAGACGTGTTTTAAAACTGTAAGGCTGACGCGATACGTAACGGGCCAATATCTACTAGCGGTGGGCTTGGCTGTTACAAATGGTATCAGAGCCAGACACCGAGAGATGTGCCAACGAGGACTCTGGCCCCCAAGGGGGGTGGATTGTGAGATCCCACGTTGGTTGGAGAGGGGACCAAAGCATTCCTTATAAGAATGTGGAAACCTCTCCCTAGTAGACGCGTTTTAAAATCGTGAGGCTGATGACGATACGTAACAGACCAAAGCAGACAATATATACTAGCGGGGAGCTTTAACTATTACATTTGTAAACTCCACCTTTAGTACAATGGATTAGGTTATTGGCAGTCGAACATTTCTCAATAATCATTCTATGCTCAATCGACTAGGAGCCCAGCCTCAGCCTCAGGTCTATTTGGCACCAGCCAGATAAAGTACATTCCTACATGTTACAATCCCAAAATTTAAGTCTCTTCTTCTCACAACAGAGGAAATTATTCCTGAATACCATCCTAATTGAACGAATCCTTGAGATTTAAAATTGTGATAATTTCTCGAATTTCACTGATTTGGCAGGAAATACAAGAAATCGGCACCTAAAAGAACTCATACAGATTAATGGCACATCGAAGAGCAGAAATGGAAAGGGGCCAAAGAAAAGCTTGGAAGAGATTGATGAAGAAGAAGGGAAAGTACCTTGTGGCGCTTCCAGGATAGGAACTGAGCCTCCGTGATGGGATTCGCGCTCGGATCATGAGACGCGAGCTTCTCTTGCTCCACAGCCGCTTCTTCTGCCCCCATTTTGTTGAGCGTAGATCAGATTCCTGGATTTGATAGCCCCTCTCCAATGGATTGCTGCTCCTGCTTCAACCTCTGTTATATTCGAGATGGAGAGAGGGTAAAATTTAAACTAAATAAATAATAAATAGAGGAATTAAAATTGGATTAACTATTTTTTTTATAATTTTTTTCTGTTTTAAAAATTCGTCCTTATAAATTAGTCTTTAATTTTTTTTTTAAAATAATCGCTAAAATTTCAATAATAAATAGTTCCAATGATATATCCAAAATAAATTAACTAATCTAGATTAATCTCAAACCAATATTTAAAAAATGGATTAAATTATAATTATAATTCTTTTATATCTTCTAAATAACTTAGAATTTAGACCCAGTTAAGAATCAATACGAGCTTTTATCAAAGTATACGAACAAATTTTACAATTATAGATACTAACTTCTAATTTTTTTCCAAACTGAATGAAAGGGGTGATCTCGTAGTTCTTGGTCTGTGAAGATACGTTGTTAGGTGCTCCATTTTATTTTCCCATTGAAGCCGAACCTAAACCTACGCTCAAGAGACCGTTGTCCATATACCGATAAGGGATGTATGGATTCTCGAGAAGAGAGAAGCCGAAGTGGTCCCCTCGGAGTGCCCGAATCCCACGAGTGAATAAAAAGTTGGATCTATATTGGATCTCATCTGAATCGACTCATCTATCCTCCTGAGGAGAAGTTTGGTTTCAAACCTCAGTTCAAACAGGAGAAGTACGTCATGCTAATGTGCTTGGATGATCCATATCTCAGGATCAGGTGCTGATGAGCATATTGAACTATCCATGTGGCTAAGAGTCGCCACAGCCCAGGTAAAACACAATTATCAAGGGTGCGCTCTACCACTGAGCTAATAGCCCATCGTGCGGGCCTCCCACTGGGGCCCACTATGCCAAAAGCGAGAGAAACTCATCCCTCTCTTACCTTTTTTCGCTCCCACATCGCCCGACGATAGAGAAAAACTAAATTAAAGCTTTTAAAAGTTCAAAATCTAATTAATCCTAAATATCGCAAGAACAAAAGATATATTTGATAAGTCTCTAGTGCCACACTCAAAGTACATATGAGCTCAACCATCACTTGATATGCTATATATATATACATACATACATATTGATTTTATTTCATGAAAAGCTTGTTTCAAGTGACAAGCACTTTGGTAGGAGAAGGCAATTTGGAAGCATTTTGAAGACATGAATCCACAGCTTCACCCACTGATAGGAAAACCCTTCCTTCAATTCTTTCAACAAAATTGGTTCTTTTAAGTTTGTGAATCACTTCCCATTTTGGACTTGCTATTGTTACCTACAAAACATCAAAATCAATCAAATTTGCTTTGTTTTTGTTAGAGAGATCTGTCTGTCGGTTTGCCATACCTGTATCCCGTTCAATAACAACCTCTTGTGAAGTTCCTCTAGAACAATAATCCCCGACGTGTCGATATTCATAACATCTAAATGAAAAAAAAACACGGGATTCACCAATTCGAAGTTAAGGATATTAAAAAAAACACAACTTTTAGAAAGTTATCGTTAAAAGATATCAAAAAACCCTAATTTTCGGTTGATTCGAGTAAGAACTTACTACACATGTCAACAACTACTTGTTTCGGTTGATCTTTGGTTGTTTCTTCAATATCATCATCTTCATCATCTTCTTCAACCAATCTCATTATTCTGATAAAAAACCATTAAAATTATGAAAACCCATTTCTCAAATAAGCTTAAAGTTGCAAACTTTTGAGTAAAAAAACCTGTCTTTGATGAAGCTGGCATTGGCAAAACAAAGCAAGCTACAGTTTATTCTAACAATGGAGATTCCTTGAGTTTTCATGGCCATTGGGAATTGCTTCATGTTGCCAAACATGTCACTTCTTCCAAGCCTTCTCACCTCTTCTATAGCGGGTCTTATCGATATCAACAATATCTTCGCAAATGAAATTCCGACCTGAAAAACCAATGAAAATGTTAGGATAACGACTCTCTGCAATGATATGGTATGATTCAATCTCAGATAAACTCTCACAATTTTGTTTTTTTATTCTTCGAAATAAAAATATTGTCTCTCGATTATGTTCCGTAATCTTTCTAGAGACTCCAACTGCAGAGACCGAAATTTATGGGTAGAATCCAACATAAATTTTACTAACCTCTCAGTTAAAGTCACGACCTTTGAGTAGAGGCCGAAATTGTAAAATCACATGAACGGCCTTTTAGTATAGTTTAAAAGTAGTAAAATCTACCTGGGTTTTACTTATATTTGGTCTCTCGATAAAAAAAAAACGATCATCTACGTAGTAGTTCGTATAAAATAAAATTAAAAAAAAAAAAAAAAAAAAAAAAAC